TCTTTTTTTTTAACCTATGTTTCATACCTTTATATGTTGCGAATGCGTAACACATCAAATGTGGCGTTAGTGTGCCGGCGTGTAAGATGTCTGTACCTGAATGTCCGTTAAATTCACCCTCCCCAGAAAAGTTATTTTGACTTTAAAAAAAAGACGATACGCAAGAAATTGCTAATAATTTGGAATTAGATGTAAGGAAGTCTATGCGAAAGTCACAACAGAATTACAGAAGATATGGTAGGCAACGATATTTTCGATGAAGGCACCTTAAATCAACCACCTGTAGAAACGTAGAAGTTATCCCTAGTTCAGTTTAAAGCTGAAAAACTTAAAATTAAATTATTTGTCATTGATTATTATTATTATTAAATTATTATTAATTGTCAATTTTTTATTAATATTATTATAAAATTTTTATCGTTGATTATTATTATTAAATTATTATTATCAAAATATTATTAATATTATTATTAATATTATTATTATTAAATTATTTGTCGTCGATTGTTATTAAATCATTATTAATTATCAAATTATTATTAACATTATTAACATTATTATTAACATTATAAAATTATTTGTCGTTGATTATTATTATTGTTGTTGTTTTTATAATTTTATCTCATTCACGTTGCCAAAATATTGTAACCTAGGCAAGATAACTGAACAGAATAATTACACGAAGGTTGGTAATGAACGATAATACTTAGGACAAGAACAACACATATAAGATTCACCAGACGCGCGTAGAAGTAGTAGTCAACTGCTAGAAGTGATTCAAGTGAATTCCACAATGAATCGCCAACAGCAGGATATCTACCAACCGCCCTACGCGGTCAGATGTGGCACAAGGCCGAATTTAATGTGGGATATCCGAGCCGGTATGCTCAACGAAAAATTCCCCGTACACACTGTATAAAACGGGGTCGGGTAGCTGTTTCCCAAAACGAGACACTTCTGGGGAACCTCTCTGCCCGGAAAGAACCTCCTACTAACAATATCTTTCTGTTATTAACGCACAGACTGGGACTCGTTCAGTGATTTCCTTCGCAACGTCCTCTGGAATTTGGTTTTTAATCTCCCCCTTCAAAAATGTGTGTCTGAGGTCTCCTCCTGGGTTAAAGATGCAATCGAGGCTTTCATCCCCGCAAGGAAATACAAAGTTAAATTGTGCTCATCTCTTTGATTCACGGCCGCTTGCTCAGCTGCTATTGTCCATGGGAATCACTTCTTCCGTCTCTACCGAAGTGACATATCTGATCGCAACAGACGTCTTTTTGCCCGTAATGAGTGCAAGCATGCCCTCAATGAAGCCAATCTACTATTTGCTGGAAAAATGAGACAACATATTGCATCTCGTCACTTTGGTTCTAGAGATTATTGGCGGCTCTACAAGAGCGTGATGAACAACAGCAAATCTCAATATCTCCCCTATTCAATCAATTTGAGGTACTGACTTCCTCAGCTGATAAGGCTGAATGCTTTGATTGGAATTTCTCATCGAATTCAACGCTCGACTCCTGATTTTACCCCTATAACTGAGGCTCTGTTGATTGACATAAATATCGATGGTTTTGGAAGAAATGTGATCTTGAACTAGCACCCGACCTCTCCAAACTATATAAAATTGCCTCACTGACTCTTGCTTTCCAACCTGTTGGAAGTCCTGATCTGTTAACCCTGTTTTTAAGATCTCCAGTGGCCCATCTAACTACCGTCCTATAAGTCTCGGCAAACTCTTCGTGGCATTAATCAACGCCGAAGTGGTCAAGCACCTTATATCCCATAACCTGCTCTCAAACAAGCAATATCGATTCCGCTTTGCGCGGCCCACCGCTGACGTCCTCACGACCATAACTGAATTTCTATACCAAGCACTTGACAATAACGGAGAAGCTCAAGCCGTAGCTTTAGATATCTCGAAAGCATTTGATAGGGTCTGGCACGTTGGCCTTCTTCGTAAACTTCAGGGATACGGCATTACACGACGATTATTTGACTTAAATAATTCCTGTCAAAACGTGAAATTAAGATCGTCCTAAAAGGGTTCTCTTCCAGTTCCTTTCACACGAACCCCGGCGTTTCCCAAGGCTCTATCCTGGGTCCTATAATGTTTCTGATCTTCATCAATGATCTTCCTGATGACATCAACTCCCACAGTTGACATCTACTCTGACGACACTACCATTTACTCCTGCATTAATAGTAGATCCGGCATCGTTGACAAAACTAAACTGTCCTTATGCCTTGAGAAGGACCTCCAATCTGTGGTTGACTGGGGCAGGAAAAGGCTTGTAAATTTTAATGCCTCTAAAACAAATCTGCTCTCAGTTACCAAAGAGAAACCCCTGTCTCCCATCAGGATGGCTGATGTCCAACTCTACGAGAGCGCCTCTCTTCGCCTGCTTGGTCTCACGCTGATCACTGACCTGAAGTGGAACGATTACATTCAAACTATAGCTTCATCTATCGCAAGGAAAGTTGCTTCTCTGCGTCACGCTAGAAGGTTTTTCTCTCCAGAGTCCATCCTTCAAACCTACAAATCAACCTTTCGTCCTTGCATGGAGTACTGCTGCCATATATAGTCTGGTGCGCCCGCTGATCATCTCGAGGCCCTCGCCAAAATCCAGAGACGGATATGCAACGTGATTGGTCCTGATTTGGCATCCCGTCTACAGTCACTATCTCACAGAGGTTATGTGGCTTCCCTCTGTCTTTGATACAAGTACTTTCATGAGAAGTACTCCGACGAGCTACTTTCACTGGTTAACAAATTGCATGAATTTAAGCGTGCTACTAGGTTGGCATCTCCGTTTAAGTGTCGAAACGACTAAATGTAGCCATGTCTAACAGCTTCTTATCTTGTCCCTTACGTCAGTGGAACTTCCTTCCTATCACTTGCTCCCCTGATAGCTATAATTTTCAAATATTCAAATGTAATGTCAATCGACATCTCCTGATGCCTTGACCTTGATCCCTGTCCTTCTCTTTATCCTTTTCCCAAACACCCCCCTCTTTACTCTTAATCTCACTTTCTGTAACCCCGAGTGCTAGTGGCACTTCTGCCTTGCTTGGGGCGAATTGCTTTAAAAAAAAACAAAAATCAGAGAGGTTGACCAGCACAGATGGAGACGAATCTGCAACTGCAGACCAACATACAGTATTTACTACTGTATTTATGTGAATAGGAACATACCCATTATCGTCTGTAGGTATGCTATAACAATTATTAAGATTATTATTTGTAAATTATTAACCATTGATTATTATTATTAAATTATTATTAATTATTAAATTATTATTAATATTATTATTAATTTATTAATAATTATTAAATTATTATTAATATTACAATTGTGATTATTACTATTAAATTATTCTCCGTTGATTATTATTAACTAAGTATTAATTACTAAATTATTATTATTATTATTATTATTATTAAGAATATTAGTAACTCATTCGTCGTTGATTATTACTATTATTAAATTATTATATTATTATTAATATTATTATTAAAATTATTATTAAATTATTTGTTAGTGATTATTATTATTAAATTGTAATTGTGATTATATGTATATTCGTACAGTTTTTTAATCGTTTTATTATTTATTTACTTAATTTCTTTCTTATTTTGTTTCTTCACTTTTCATTTTAGCGGGTTCGTTATCATATTTATTGGATTAGTTTAAAGTATTGGCATTGTTTAAACTCTATTAAGTCACATGCATTGTATACTTTCTTCGAGATGACCGTTCGATTAAGATTCTTAAACTCCCTTTTTAGACTTTACATTATTCAAACTGTTATCCTCATCTTCATTGCCATATTCTCAACGTTTCGGCCGTTGTACGCTCCGACCTTCTTCAGGTGATTGGAATTTCGAACTGAACCTTTATTTCGTACGCTAGGGTAGAATGATCTAGTTCAACGTGCCATGCCTCTTCCGGATATCTTTGTTATTTCCCTTTAACTCAACTCTCCAAGTTTTGGTTCATCACTGCTGTGGCCTGGTATTGAACTCCCAACGCTTTGGGTCTAGTCACTGGATCTAATCAACATCTTTTTCAGGATTGCGCCACAGAGGATTCTTCTTTGGTCAAAGCCGGCATCATGCTTTTCTTCCTTCTTGAAAATATCAAGTCCAGACGCAATTTTCACCTTTGTTTACACAGGGTCTCTATTGACACAATATCCCACAGGAATCACTTGTTCCCGGTGTTCCAGCGGGACAGTTTCGATTTCTGCTCATAACAAGAGTAAACATGTCCGCAAAGTCGAGGCGAAGTCTTTGTTTCATAGCTTCTAACAAGTTTCACTCTCACGACTACTAGCAGCTATGTGTTAAATGAGAGTAGGTCTTCTATATCTATAAAGCGATGTGTTAAATAAGAGTAGGTCATCTATACCTCCTCCCTTCACTCAATTTGAGATGTTAACTTCTATTCATAAGCAGAATGTTTTGCTCGCAAATTCTTCTTATATTCTACACTTGACTCATCTGAATTTTCTTTTTTGCTGTATATTTAAAGCTTCTTTATGGAATCCAAAGAAGAATCAGCAATATTATTGGTCCTGACCTTGCATCTCGGCTTCAGTCACTTTCCCACCACTATAATCTAGCTTCCCTGTGCCTTTTCTATTTCCTTTCATCGTAAATTTTCGGGTGATCCCTTCGCTGTGGTACCTAGACTTTATGAATTTAAGCTCAGTGTGAGAATGATTGATGCGTGTTTTACGACTTATCAACCTTTTGCAGGTTATTTAAAGCCAGGAAATATTTTTAGATTGCATGAATTTTCCTGAGACAATAATGATCCACTGATACAAAGTCCTACTAATTAAACAATGGCTTTGGGGAGAAGAGGTGGATTCACACCTTTCTCAAAGATATTTGCGCATAATTAAATATAAAGAACCCGACTAGAATTGGAACTCGGTTCTCCAATTTCCAAATCGTTATCCATTACACCCCCCCCAAACAGCCTAGCCTAAATCCCCTAGTATTCTCAGACGAACACCCATCTAGGTAGTGATCAGACACGTCGTTGCTTAACTTCGGTGATCTTGCGAGAACCGGTATTTCAACGTGATATGGCCGTAAACTTGTGATACTGGCGGCAAGATATAACGCTAAGTTCGATGTTAAATTAGTTAAATCAAGTAGTGCTCTCTTTTTTGTTTTTTACTTCAAGAATTGAGGAACCTTCGTCACGGGCTTGGTTAGCTGGAGACAAAGGTGAAAAGAAATTTTTAAAAAATGGCATTGTACCAATAATTCTTCTACTTCATGTGCCGTGTCCATTCAGGAAGTTGAGGATCATTGCTCTCCACTATTTCCTGTCTTTTCTCCTTTTAATCAATCTCACTAACTATGTTTCGCGTTGTTTTCCTCTGTCCCTCTTGCCTTCAATCTGTCCTAAGAGATCTTCTTTATGTACCGTTTCCCCTCAGGGCATAGACGATCATGACTCTCCACAATTTCCTGTCTTTTATAGTTCTTAATAAATGTTGTCTTTTTGTCATCTCTTCCAATCTTGATTCGTGAGCCATTCACTCAGGCTCTCCTGGTAGATTCTGTGTTGATTTCCTCTGTCCCTCTTGCCTTCAATCTGTCCTAAGAGATCTTCATCTTTATGTACCGTTTCCATTCAGGGCATAGGCGATCATGGCTCTCCACAATTTCCTGTGCTTCGTAGCTCTTAATAAATTTTGTCTTTTTTGATATTTCTCGTAAACCCTATTTCGACATCCATTTACTCAAAATCACTAAATAGGTTATGCATTGCTTTCCTCTATCCCTCTTGCCTTCAATCTGTCCTGTCAGTAACGGATTTCCCAAGTCGTCTTTACTCATTATATGCCTCAAATATTTCAACACTCAATTCCTGATGTCAAGTATAAGTTTCCATTTTCTCTAAAACTTCGTTGTTGCTCACTTGTTCCGTCCATGGTATTCTCAGTATCCTTCTGTAGAACCATTCTTATGATGCTTCAAGTCTCAGCATTCACTGACATATTAGCATATAGTACTATAGCTGGCCACTCGTAGGTACCCATCTTCTAGGGCGACGCATTTCTGTTTATTCAACACCCACAGTACCTACTTGTGATTTATACTGCAACTATGCTGAGCAGACCTAAGTTACGGTTTTATCTAGCACACTCAAGACCTCGGTCACGATGACTTGTGACTTCGTGCTAGCTCAGCTATCGAACCCCAAGCGTTCTATTTACCCAATTTCACTCACAAGTCGCCTTCCTGAAAAATCGACCATGATGAGATTCGAACTCGGGTTTTTTGGTCAGAATGCAAACATTCTAACCACTTGGCCACGCACCCATAATATATAGGAGAACAGATATCACATAAGAGTGTATTTCTCTTTTATTTCTTTCTATTCTATTATTGGAAATTTTACCACTGTCTAATTTAAATTCCCGGACAGAAATGTCTGAGGTCTGTCTTTCTAATACAATTTTCAATACAATTTTAGAAGTGCCAAAAGCCATTGGATAAGATTATTTAAACGTAATGTAATGCTTACCTCCCTTGACGCCATAGAAATGCACAGTTTTTTTTTCTAATGTCTGGAAAGTCGGTGTGAACAAAATCTCGGCTGTTCAGGGCAAGGTGATATAAAATTATCAGCATTCGAACAGAACATAATAGTTAGTGCCAGACTGATTTTACATTCGATTTCTGAGATTGTGGGTTTGTCCTCCCTCGATTTGAAGTGTTTACCTGGGGTACCTGATGAAAGGCATTACCGCAAACCACAGACAGCACAATCTGCGTTCTTAACGATAGCATCTGTCGAGAATGTTTTACACTAACCGACAAACGACAATGTCTGAAATGATATCAACATTACATTCAGAAGGTACGATATGATTCCAATCGAAGGTTTATTGGACGTAGTATAGAGGTCAATTTGAACGCAAGATTATGTATCTGCAAATATCAGGGAAAGTCTAGACAGTTACTAAAGACAGCATAGGTAACCATCTCACCAGGGGTCTTGGCAAATTTATATCAAGCCGAGATTTTATACGTCGACAAGCTGGAGGAATCCTCTATATTTAGCACATCAGTGTAAGTACACACACACACATTCTCTCTTTCTCTCTCTCTCTCAAACAAACACACACACATATACACACACCACACACACACACACATATATATATATATATATATATATATAGTATATTTTTCATTCTCGCGTGGTCATGTGTGACGTCACGAGCTGGCACGCGATTTTCGCTTCCGCGTCTCGTATATACGAGTTTGTCGTTACTTGGAAATTTTTCATGCAGCAAAGGCAAACTATCATTGTTCTTTCGTCCCTGCGTTGTATGATTTATTGAAATTGTCATCTTTGATAATGTCTTACGTAAGCCGAAAGCTTAGATTGGATTTAAACATGTATCAATATGGTGGTTTCCTTTTGTTTTTCAATGATAATGTTATTAAGCTTATCAGACAATATGAAAGCAACTTACTTAAAATAAATACACAAAACTTGTCTATACTATTTGATGAAACATGCATTAATGAAAATTGCTGCATATATATATATATATATATATATATATATATATATATATATATATATATATATATATATATATATATATATATATATATATATATATATATATATATGACTCTTCGTAAATCGAATTTAATTCTCTCAGTCACTGTGTGTTTATCTAAAAATAAATACGCTTAAATTCACCTTCTTCCGTGCCGGGCACCAACGGCTTAGGGGTAAAATCTCCGACTAACGCCAATTCAGACGGGTTTCGATCCTAGCCTGAGGCCAGCGGACTCTAGCCACACTTATCAGCTGTGATACAGCGGAATAGTCTGTCTGTGCTTGGCAATATATATATATAAATTAAGTGGGGATCTGAATAGCCATAATTTATTCATCGAGTCTAGAAGAATGCTCAACAGAGTGCAGAAGGCACTGGACGGCCGTTTCGTCTTATTTTTGGGACTCATCAACAGTGCGCATCCCCTACCGAGAATCGAACCCTGACTGTTACGATATAGCGCAAACGTTATACTGAACCAACGTGTCTTGGTGACGGAGAGGTAACATATATATATATATATATATATCGAAGGAGATTAAATGCCGAATTGATATGTATTATAGTTTTCAGTTCATAACATCAGTCTCAGAACTTATATCTATCTATCTATCTATCTATAATCTGTAATGAAAAAAATCAATAGTCTTCCAATTAGCATTATCTTGTCTGTATACACTTGATGGTATTTTGTCTCGCCTAATTGTTTCTCCTGTTCAGTGTACCGGTCTTGAGACAATGCAAACGTGAAAATTGGAATGAAGATAATTCGGCTTCGTTTCATTTTTGGTTTTTGGTCTCAGATATACAAGTTCACGCTAAATGCTGACGAGACAAGAACCGATTTTGCTTCCATCCTTATCAACCAAAGAAAAGCAAGGAAGAAGAATTCACGCCCCTCTATCATTCATCACAATCTGAAAACTGCAACATCAATACGATGAAGAATCTCCGGCTTATTTTCGTTTTTTTTGTTTTTTGTTGCTTAGTATGTTTGTTTTATTGTCACCGTCATTATCTGATTGCCAAAGTGAAAGACAGTGTACTGTAGTGTAGAAGACATTATTTCATATCGAAATAATAAGTTTAAGTTTGATCTATAAAATGTTTGTTTATTCTTTATTTTTTCCGTGTATTTAGATTACGCTTTCAGTAAATTACACAGTATCTGATCTACAAACTTGTAGACAGAAGACGATTATATCAAATGTAGTTATGTTATAATATCGAACATTCCAGTACAGGCATTATTACCGATAACTTTCTTAATACCGATAATGATAATGGTAGACAAATATGACTTCATTTTAAGCAATAAAATAGATCGCTTTCAAATATTTTAACCTTTAAATTTGTGAAAAAAATACCATTATCAATATCGGTATTAAGAAAATTATACATTTTTTCACGGATTTAAAGTATAAATATTCAAAGACGATGTATTTTATTGCTCGAAATGAAGTCATATTTGTCGTCTATAGGTAAGATTCATTGATAAAGAAATAACATCAAAAATCTTATTTCAATTCAGTAAAATATATAATTTAATGACAATAATGTGATCGTACGATAGAAATAATTTTAAAACATTATTCTATTTATCAGTAGATGACAACAATTTGTAAGAAATACTCATTAAGCAGTATATATATATATATATATATATATATATATATATATATACACATGATGAAATGGACAAAGTCCGACAATTATTTAAGATTTTTTTATGTTTATACGTTCTTTTTATAGATACAAATATTTAAGTAAATGCTCTGATTATAATAAAAAGTATTAACAACATTTACCGACCTGAATGTCCGAAAAATTGTCATAGAAAATATGCATCCACCGTCAGTTCCATATAGGATACAGGTTCGATTCCTGTCGGAGGACGCATATTTTATATGAAAATTTCTCGGACATACAGGCCTGTAAAAGTTGTTAATACTGTTTATTACAGAGTATTTACTTAAATATTTGTATCTATAAAAAGAAGGTATAAACATAAAAAAATGTCTTATATATATATATATATATAAATGAAAACAGAGATTTCTTAAAAATCAAGACCTTACTAACAACAGAAAAATAAGAGAATTTTTTTAGTGAAAAGCAAACTAATCAGATTATTTTTTGTTTCGAAATACAGACTTAAGAAAGCAAAGACTATTCAACGAATTTTCAGAAAGATTTATTCTCAGTTACGTGACGTACAATCCTGAAAATACTCTTTAATATCCTACACTTGTATGCTTAAATAAAAGAACTCCCTTATAGAGATTATGTTACATAATTAAATCAGACTATTATTTTTAGGGGAAAGTGTATCTCAGCTCCGACTTTTGGAAGTTGACTTTCGTGGTCAGATGTAACACATAATAAGGAAGTCAATTTTGATTGGCAGAGCTAGCGTGGGATTGATAGATAGAGAAAAAGGTTTTTCAGCCATGTAGACATGTTCTCTTTCGTGCCTGAAATGGCTCCGCAGTGATTGGGGGG